CCTGCAGGAAAAATGGATACAAAGATCGTTAATATTTTATATCTTTACCCTGCTGCAATAATTCATAACTTGTATCAAAATACTTGGCAGTGCAATTTCTTGATCAATCTTTAAAAATATTTTCTATATATTGTCTAGGAATAAAATAACTTTATTGCAATATGAATTTTGCAGTACAAGTGTAACTTACCCAAGCAAATATAGAAGAATCTTCAACGATGCAAAGTATGTTTATTGATATAAACAACATGACATAAAACTTGCCTATAAATTTTCCATTTTTGTTCCTCTAATTTTTTTTTTGTTTGCCAATTTTTCCAGCAATCAAAATTAAATACTGCTTAACTTTCTTCTAAAGCATTAAAAGGTCTTTGGATTAATGATAAATGAAGCAAGAAACTTACTCATCATTTTTACACCACTGTTAGTATTAATGGCAATTAACCGCAATGGAAGCAATCAATTAAAAACAGTACAATAATCTTACCTTATCCAATCGTTATGTCTACATAATGTTTTGCCAAAATTTACATATTTTGAAACAAGCGTTGAAGATTAGCATTCGTTTGAATTCCCTCAGTGAATAAACGAAAGTAATTTATAAATTATAATAATGCTTAATTGTTGAAATCGTATATCACCTTATACCCAAAAATATGAAAAGTACGAAAACAGCGAGGGTCATTCTGAAATTTCAATAAAAGAAACTTCTGAACAGTAAACGTAAAAATACGAATTCAAATAACTGAATATATATTTTTAAATATAGACAAAAAAGAATAAACTGATCTCGTGTAGACGACCGATTTAAAAATTTCACCGTTATGGTAATGAAAAATCAGTGGTGATAAAACATATCACTAATAATATATTTTGCCTCCTTTTGTAAATTTGGCCTATTATTTCGTGTAATCGATTTCCAAAAGTAATTCATAAACAGAAATAATGATTAAAACAAATGCACTATCAAAAACGGTCTTCGTAATAGATCAACTTCCTTTTCGATTATGTATAGTAAAAAACCTTGCAGTAATAGCAATAATAATTATTATTGTCATTATTGTTGTTTTACTTACTAATAAATTAGTAGTAACTAGCAAGTATTTGCTCAAGAAATGAAAAGTAATATTGAAAGTAATGATAGTAATAAGGAGAATTCAACTCCATGGAATATTTCATGATTTAGAATGCACTACAAATGATCAAGTAGAGGGAATAAGTAATTTCTGTACAGACGAGAAGTTTAATGCATTTTGGTACAGACGCATATTTCATTACTGATCAAAAATTAGTGCACAAATTCTCTTATTGCAGGGAAATTTCTTGTAGCAGTAAAATGTCGATATTTAATTTTTGAAATAAGATTGTAATTTGTTTGTTACTGTAAAAGATAGTTCAATAAGTGTTGGCAGGTTTAACGTTAGACAACAAAAATATAGCTAAATAAGCTTTATGGCAACCATCAAAGGAAAAGTTCAGGAGGAGAAATTATTGAGGACAATGAGTTTTTTAAAGAAGGTTATGGTTACATCACTTAATCTTATTTCGTCTTAACAGCAACACTTTGAATTAAAAGAAGCTCCTTAATGATGACTAACAAGCTTTTTAAAAAACACATTGAAAAAAGTGCTACTGACGAATTTAAAAATTTTGTACTTTGGAAGAAATATCAACGTTTAGAAATCTCATTTTGTAAGAAGTTATGCTGAACATATTCAATGATATAAGACTTATAAGAAACATTCTGCAATTACTCACTTTTTAATTATTAATTAGTGTAAAAGCTTCCAAACAACGTAGAGCTGTTCTGCTCGATGCTTAGTTTAAAGCTAGAGCAAATAGCTGTATAAAATTCAGAAAAAAAAATTAGAAATAACTGTTTGAAATTTATACACAGTTTCTGATACTGTAATTAAGAATATTGCCGAAATTATATATAACACGATTTTTATCAGAACTATTAGCAATTGTCATTAAACTGGAATGATGATGGCTCGAAGAATTCAAGAATGTACTGCATGAAACTTTTGATCTGGTGATTTATATCAAAAAAAAATTCGTACGAATCAGGTTGCATGAAATGGTTACTTTCATCACTGCATCAGCATTTATTGATTAAAATCATTTTCATAAAATTTCGTGGAGTTAAAAAATACCCAAATAAAAAGATGCATAAAAGGAAGACAGAAGCGACCTTCAATTAGAGTATAAGTATTTATTTATTTATGGAAACATCAATGAATGTACGTTTTTTATTTACTTTTTTTTTTTTTTTTTTCAATTTTAATAACTGATATTTATTGATGAAAATCATACTGATCCTTAGAGTGATATTAAAAGGCCATGAATAGCTTTTTGAAGCATCGCTCAACTGCTCTATTGCGATGTTTCAATTATTGGAAAAAAATTAAATGGATTCCAAAAAACTACATGTACCATGAATACCAAAAATTCCACAAATAAAAACTCCAGTAATTCAAAGAACAGATTTGATACATTGAAGACCACCAACACCACCAGCACCACCAGTACCAAAAACATTGATCTGCTACACTTGCTATTGGAGAAGGAGTTGGTGATACACGTTTTGCTGTAGTCATTAGCGTACCTTTTACGGTAGCAGTTGGAATCACAGAAGCTGTAGAAGCAGAAATTTTTTCCGTTGGTTTCGATGTCTTAAGCGATGGTCTTGAAACTGGTGTTGTTAATTTTGATGTCTTAGAGGACGCTTTTGAAGTTGTTGCTGTTGCTATTTTTGATGTCGTAGGGGATGATGCTGAAGTCGGCTATAATAATGTGCTGTTAAATATGATGAAGTTGGTAAAAATAATGGAAGATGGGAAATAAAATAAAATTGATAAAATTTCCACAGTTCATTAACAGGCATCAATGATGTTTATTACTAAAAAAAATTTTTTTTTTTGGTTTGATTATGAAAGAAATATAAAACAGTAAATTCAACATGGAGGAAAAAATCAATCGATCAATTGGACTTTTTATTGACAAATCAATAAAAAATGATCATTTTATTCGCACAGTACTTCTATCTGATCAATTTCAGTCCTTTTATTTGTTAAAAACGATTATTCTGGCTGATAAAATTTAGAATAAAATTGTTACCATTATCATGTTGAACAACAAAATAGCGGTGAAGACAAAAGCAGATCTTTTTTTTGCGATCATCGTTTAATTTGATCAATCGGATTGAAATTAAATACAAAAGGAGTTGTTTATGAATGATATCACCAAGCGGATGCTTCATGAAATTTATTTACTTAATCAGGCAAGCGATGATTAAGCGCAGATTATCAACCATTCAAATTCCGTACACGAATTTTTTGCACATAACACTAACAGTTCCAGCATTCACTACTGTGTCTAATGCACTTCATTCAGAACGCATTGATGTAATCCTCGTTCTTCAAGTATGATAAGAAAATTCCTGTCCTACATTCCGTACCGGTAAAATAAACCTTCTGCCATTCACAAGTAAACTATTTTTCGCGCAACATTTGAAATGAAGGAATATAACTTCCAGTTTTTCTTTTCTAATATCTAGTAGCGACGACGAAGAAGCAGATGGCTTATAATTTGCAGTGTGACTGAAATGCACCGGAATTGTTATCGAGCCGAACGTCCTGCACTGAAAGATTTGATGACATTTATATAAGAATTGTTTTACTTTGCATTTATTTGGAATAATTGAATTGAATTGTAAGCATTGCTTTCCAAAATAGCACTACTCATCCAAAGCTTCAGGAAAGCGGGCATTGTTTAATGCAGCTACATCAATGAGGCTTCGCATTTGCATTCAATTGGTGAATTTTCTTTAATATAAGAGAAATCAAAAGATATGAAATGTAAACATCTTCAAATGGACAGAAAAAAGTAGTTCTTTCCATTAGAATCAAAATTGTACAACAAAACTCTGCTAATATCTAACTGTCTGTCATTCGAACATTTATCAAACCATTGTTGCTAATCATTTAGAAATAATGATTACAATGATATCATCCTTGATCAGAAATTACTTATTCCCTCTACTTGATCATTTGTAGTGCATTCTAAATCATGAAATATTCCATGGAGTTGAATTCTCCTTATTACTATCATTACTTTCAATATTACTTTTCATTTCTTGAGCAAATACTTGCTAGTTACTACTAATTTATTAGTAAGTAAAACAACAATAATGACAATAATAATTATTATTGCTATTACTGCAAGGTTTTTTACTATACATAATTGAAAAGGAAGTTGATCCATTACGAAGACCGTTTTTGATAGTGCATTTGTTTTAATCATTATTTCTGTTTATGAATTACTTTTGGAAATCGATTACACGAAATAATAGGCCAAATTTACAAAAGGAGGCAAAATATATTATTAGTGATATGTTTTATCACCACTGATTTTTCATTACCATAACGGTGAAATTTTTAAATCGGTCGTCTACACGAGATCAGTTTATTCTTTTTTGTCTATATTTAAAAATATATATTCAGTTATTTGAATTCGTATTTTTACGTTTACTGTTCAGAAGTTTCTTTTATTGAAATTTCAGAATGACCCTCGCTGTTTTCGTACTTTTCATATTTTTGGGTATAAGGTGATATACGATTTCAACAATTAAGCATTATTATAATTTATAAATTACTTTCGTTTATTCACTGAGGGAATTCAAACGAATGCTAATCTTCAACGCTTGTTTCAAAATATGTAAATTTTGGCAAAACATTATGTAGACATAACGATTGGATAAGGTAAGATTATTGTACTGTTTTTAATTGATTGCTTCCATTGCGGTTAATTGCCATTAATACTAACAGTGGTGTAAAAATGATGAGTAAGTTTCTTGCTTCATTTATCATTAATCCAAAGACCTTTTAATGCTTTAGAAGAAAGTTAAGCAGTATTTAATTTTGATTGCTGGAAAAATTGGCAAACAAAAAAAAAATTAGAGGAACAAAAATGGAAAATTTATAGGCAAGTTTTATGTCATGTTGTTTATATCAATAAACATACTTTGCATCGTTGAAGATTCTTCTATATTTGCTTGGGTAAGTTACACTTGTACTGCAAAATTCATATTGCAATAAAGTTATTTTATTCCTAGACAATATATAGAAAATATTTTTAAAGATTGATCAAGAAATTGCACTGCCAAGTATTTTGATACAAGTTATGAATTATTGCAGCAGGGTAAAGATATAAAATATTAACGATCTTTGTATCCATTTTTCCTGCAGGTTAATAATTCGATGTCAATAATTGACGATGCAAGAATGCAAAAAATGGATGACTTACGTCAGACAATCAATTCAAAATATTACCAAAAACTTTTAAATTTGATGCGTATGTAACATTCATCACTTTCAAAGTATTTGTTAGCATCTACAATTTAACAGTGTCACTGATTAATGTTCATTACAAGTTAATTACGTCAATATCAAGAGATGTGATGCATGCTCCCACGATTCTTGTCACCAAAGTGTAGCATGAACGATCATCGTCTAGATTAACGGACACAATTTAAAAGCTGGCTTGAAATTGCTAGCATAAATACTTCACGTGTTCAGTTATATATTCCACAGTGCTTCCATATTGCATGACATGGCAATCTTATCATCAAAATGCTAGAACTCGAGCTATATTCCTTAATAATGACAATAATAGTAGCAACACTTTTTTATCATTACTATGGGAAACGTAAAAATAGACTATGATGTATTTCACAAATGCAGTAACCAAAAAGGAACGTCAAAAGCGGCAAATTGAAGAACCAACATATTTGGGAACTAATCGGATATTTACGAAACTTGATAATACCGTTGCTAGCATGATAACAACTATCGCAATTTATGAATTAAACGATATAAATGTGTTTGTTCATTTTTCAACTAATCATTAATGAATTTTAAAACATATACTATTATCGCCAACAATTTGAGTTCAAATGTCACTGAGACTAAGGCAATATTGATCAGTTGTCAGCAAAATGATTATGGGAGATAGAATGAACAAACATTATTTACATGCAAAGGATAGAAAAGTAAGTTTCAGAAATTTCTTTAAAGAGAATAAATCACTGAAATGTATGTTTTACCTCAGTTTCATTTTCATTTCTAGTTATATCGCAACAAAATTAAACTGCTTGAAATATGTTGGAGAAACTATTCAAATGATCAACAAACAAGCTGATAACGGCAGCATGTTTGTATTAAATCAACTTATTTTTAGCTCCACAAAAATTTCAAATGATTAACAAATGATAAAGAATTAATAAAAGAGTAATTTGTGCAGAATATGGATTTTCATGTTAATTATTTATTGGATGCTAATACCCGTATTCATTTGGGTTGCAATTATTTTGTTTATGTGGAAAAATCTTCGATTGCATTGGCGTAAAATTATCGCACCAATGGCAACTGCGGTAAGACATCAATATAGCAATAGCAATACAAGATAGCATTACAATAAAACATTGTAGTTTATTTTGTAATAATTAAAGCATCGGAAGCAAAAGAAGATTTCAGAAGCATTGCGAAGCAAGCGGTAATCTATTAAATGTGGAAAACGAAATTATGACAATGCCAACATGGGACGGTTAGCTGTTTCTTTTTTTGTAGGAAGCCATGAAATATTTTGTTAAAGTTATTTCATTTATGAATAATTTAATTTCATTCATTTACACTTAAAAGAATATTTGATGCATGAACTACGTTGCTCATCTAAATTGTGCATTAAATATAGGTTATTGCTGAAAAGATTATAGATAAAAGCACTAATCGATTAGTCATTAATTGACAAATCACTTGATTAGAATTCTTAAAAAAGTGTACTCAAGTTCGAAACAAAAAACTAGTGTTAATGGAAAATGATAATCTGACCCTATATTTTGCTAGTTACAGTTTTGTTTTAATTACGATTACTTCGCGTTTTAATCATTCTCATCTATTTCCATCCCAGTTAAAGTATTTTGCGACCATTGGCCATGAAACTTCATGTGTTCAATGGAAATTAGGATATGAAATTAGATTTAGTCCTTTTTTTCTGCATGGACCATTCGCTTCATTATTTCTTCGCCACAACATTTATGTTTCAAAACATGTATTAAGACTAATTTTCAGAATTTACGTCTTTCTCAGATTTTTTCTTACTTATCCTGCATTTGTTGTTCAAATTTTAAAATGACTTCTAGTGTTTGGTATACTTTTCACCTTTATCGAATATTACTTTTTATGGAACTTCTTACAAAAAGAAACGTGAAATAAAACTGTTAAGTATTTTAAAATTCAATGTTAATTTCATGCACAAATGTCAGAAATATCATACTTCTAATAATGCTATTTTCAATCCTTTTATGTTTTATACAGCATAATTAGTTTGCAAAATTTACGTTATCCAAAATAGTCTAAGTGACGCCAATAGTTAATTTCAGAATTCGTTTTGCATGATCATTTCAATAATACATGTTTTGAACGATACTTGAGCAAAGATAAACTATCTCTGTATAACAAAAATGATCATTAAAATCATTATCAAAAATGAGTATAATAGTGAGTGTAGATCCAATAATCACACAAATTAAAGAATATAGTTGGATAGCTTGAATGAAACAAAAACTAAATTGATTCATTTTAGTTCGTTTTATATTTTCAAAATTACATTTACACTTTCAAAAAAAAAAATCATTTTATAATGAATGAATAATTATGCTTTCATTAAGGTATCCTGGAAGCTCGCTTCGAGCAGACAACACAATCAGTGCATGATGAAATTAAATGGTTTCCTGAAGAGGATACGGCTGAAATGCGGAATCAGGGAGAAAAGAAAACGAATACGGAGTAGTGAAAGAGTAATATGTATGCATGTATAATTTAACGTTTTCACAATTTGTCAATTTGATGTCAACAAAAGTTTCTGATAAAGATTTTCCGAAATACTGAACAACATGAAAGCGGAAACATGATGAACCATTTAGTTGCACATATAAATACAAATAGAGTCTACAAAGATATTTTGTCACAAATCTACTGGATTTATTCTTCTTCGACTAATCAAATTTATCATGATGAATCGGTATAAATCAAAGAATAAACAATGATAAGTATAACTGAGTATTGTGATGATAATAATCACTTGGATAAACGTTATAAAGAGAACATATTTGCTGTGTGCTAATTGATTTATGGATTATTTCAGTAACTGATTGATAAGAAAAACTCATTGTTTTATAGAAAATTAGGAATCTAAAAATTTTCAAGCAATGTTCCGATATGTTTATTGAAAGGTATTATGTAAAAATTAAAGCAGCGTTCCGGAACTTTTACATAAATTTGCAAAATGAAGCTAATTAAAACCGGCAATCCATGTCAAATATTTTCACTTCAGCGAGGAATACAACTTCTTTTAGCTATTCATTTCAGATTTTAAAATCGAAGCACACAAATCAATCAGCCTATAATATACCATTTCTTGTTAGCTTAAGTGAATGTTAACAGGTTACCGATCGCAGACTCCTAAAATATTCCAAGTGATAAAAATTTTTTGACCTTTTTATGAATATTTAAAAAAAAAAAAAACAAATGGGAACAAAAAGTTTGATTTGCTTTGCAATATGAACTGAAATTATCCATTAATTTTAAATGAACGAAACAATTCGAACTTTTCCAACCGGTCTGTGGGAGATCATGGAAAAAAGTGAATATCGATACATATCCTCATTTACTTATATCATTCTGTAAAATCATATATTAGAATTACACAAGAATCTTAACATTATAAATATTTGAACTTTTCAATTATTTTTGCAATGGTTTTATGTAATTATTTCTTGGTTATTTCACAGCAAAAAAAAGATTAATATTTTTAATTTATAAATTATTGATTCTCGCTTGAATGATTTCTATAAGATTAATTGAAAGATAGTTGAATGATAATAAAATAACTGATCAAGGATGATATCATTGTAATCATTATTTCTAAATGATTAGCAACAATGGTTTGATAAATGTTCGAATGACAGACAGTTAGATATTAGCAGAGTTTTGTTGTACAATTTTGATTCTAATGGAAAGAACTACTTTTTTCTGTCCATTTGAAGATGTTTACATTTCATATCTTTTGATTTCTCTTATATTAAAGAAAATTCACCAATTGAATGCAAATGCGAAGCCTCATTGATGTAGCTGCATTAAACAATGCCCGCTTTCCTGAAGCTTTGGATGAGTAGTGCTATTTTGGAAAGCAATGCTTACAATTCAATTCAATTATTCCAAATAAATGCAAAGTAAAACAATTCTTATATAAATGTCATCAAATCTTTCAGTGCAGGACGTTCGGCTCGATAACAATTCCGGTGCATTTCAGTCACACTGCAAATTATAAGCCATCTGCTTCTTCGTCGTCGCTACTAGATATTAGAAAAGAAAAACTGGAAGTTATATTCCTTCATTTCAAATGTTGCGCGAAAAATAGTTTACTTGTGAATGGCAGAAGGTTTATTTTACCGGTACGGAATGTAGGACAGGAATTTTCTTATCATACTTGAAGAACGAGGATTACATCAATGCGTTCTGAATGAAGTGCATTAGACACAGTAGTGAATGCTGGAACTGTTAGTGTTATGTGCAAAAAATTCGTGTACGGAATTTGAATGGTTGATAATCTGCGCTTAATCATCGCTTGCCTGATTAAGTAAATAAATTTCATGAAGCATCCGCTTGGTGATATCATTCATAAACAACTCCTTTTGTATTTAATTTCAATCCGATTGATCAAATTAAACGATGATCGCAAAAAAAAGATCTGCTTTTGTCTTCACCGCTATTTTGTTGTTCAACATGATAATGGTAACAATTTTATTCTAAATTTTATCAGCCAGAATAATCGTTTTTAACAAATAAAAGGACTGAAATTGATCAGATAGAAGTACTGTGCGAATAAAATGATCATTTTTTATTGATTTGTCAATAAAAAATCCAATTGATCGATTGATTTTTTCCTCCATGTTGAATTTACTGTTTTATATTTCTTTCATAATCAAACCAAAAAAAAAAATTTTTTTAGTAATAAACATCATTGATGCCTGTTAATGAACTGTGGAAATTTTATCAATTTTATTTTATTTCCCATCTTCCACTATTTTTATCAACTTCATCATATTTAACAGTACATTATTATAGCCGACTTCAGCATCATCCTCTACGCCATCAAAATCAACAACATCAGTAACAACTTCAACAGCGTCCTCTACGACATCAAAATCAACAACATCAGTAACAACTTCAACAGCGTCCTCTACGACATCAAAATCAACAACATCAGTAACAACTTCAACAGCGTCCTCTACGACATCAAAATCAACAACATCAGTAACAACTTCAACAGCGTCCTCTACGACATCAAAATCAACAACATCAGTAACAACTTCAACAGCGTCCTCTACGACATCACAATCAACAACATCAGTAACAACTTCAACAGCGTCCTCTACGACATCAAAATCAACAACATCAGTAACAACTTCAACAGCGTCCTCTACGACATCAAAATCAACAACATCAGTAACAACTTCAACAGCGTCCTCTACGACATCAAAATCAACAACAACTGCAACTACTGTAAAAATGCCCTCTACGGCATCAACAACTCTAACAACTTCAAAACGTGTCACTCTTATTTCTACAGCACCACGAACGATGCTTACAGAACCTCCTTTAAGAGATGTATTAATTTCAACGATCTTGCCTTCCTTAACGGTAGCTCCAGTTCCTAAATTAGAAGCACAAAATTGGTGGTACTGGTGGTGTTGGTGGTATCCATCAAGTACTGCTTGTTTTTGGGGCGTGTGGAGTTTGAATTACATGTATTCTTGGTACATGTAGTTTTTAGAATCCCAAAGGCAATAGATCAGTTGAGAAATGCTTCAGAAAGCTATTTATGGCCTTTTAGTGTCATTCTAATGATTGTTATGATTTTGATCAATAAATGTCAGTTATCAGAATTGATAGTAAGGAACGTACTTCCATTGATGTTCCCGTTAATTGATATTTATATTACAATTGAAGATCGCTTCAGTTTTTGATTTCATTCATTTTTTTTATCTAGGTTTTTTTTTTTTTTTTTAACTTTTCGAAGTTTATGAAATTGATTTTGATTAATAAATGCTGATGCAGTGATGACAGCAAATATCTTATTTTTCAAGATTCAAATATTTTATTCCCAAAGTTGAAGATTTTGACACAAATATTCGATGCAATCCGAATGCTTTGAACTTCTATTATTTCTTATGGAGCCAAATCAGTAATATCGCATTATATATAATTTAAGTAGTTTTTAGTGTTGGTAATCTTATATAACAAATTTTGGACAACAGGCGAATATTGAAAAAAATTTAGCATTATATATAATTTAGGTAACTTCTGTTTTGAACTCCCCTCTTGTTTAAGTAATTTGTGCTTAACAGACAAAACTTATTGTAAAGATTTATCATTTTTGAACGATTGATGGTAACCTTATCCAATAATTATTGGTCAATAGATAAACATTAATAATTTGAAGATGGTTTCATGGTTTCAAAATTGATATGGGTTGAGTCGTAGTTTAGAACTGTCAAAAGGTTAAAGTGATGATTCTCCATGAAACAAACCTGGTAATGAATTCTAATTCCCTATATATCAGCATATTATAATGTAATGCATAGGATACAAAATAACTAATGTAAGTGAAAAAGGCTGTGTAAAAGAAGATCTGATAACAGCAAAACGACTGATATGCGACTGGTTATTTATCAGATAGAAAACTTTTGCATATTTCGGCAATTGAACCAAAGATAAACATGGTAATGAAAATAAGGATAAGAAATAACTCATCACATTAGATAGTGTAACATTTATCAAATTATAGTTTTGCAGTGCATCACTTAAGGAAAAAATATTTGCAACACAAATTATTGCAACGCTAGGCTGGATTCTCAGTTCGTATTATAAACGGAATAAGGATGACTACTTTTTTTTATTTCCTTAGCTTCAGGATATTTCGGTATATGAAATGTGTAACTTAATTTTAATTAAATTAGAACTATTAATTAATAAATTAGAACTGTTAAATAATTAGATAGAAAAGGATAATGTGTGTTGTCGATCATATTGTTGTGAAAGGTAGTCTTTGGTCTGTGAGATACAAAAGTTAATGGACTTACGTTGATTGTTGTGTTCCGCTCGCAGCGTTAAAGATAGTAAGCGTCAAATACGCTATTTTTTTATAATACAGCAGTGAAACTATTGTAAGTTTATTCTTATAAAGCGTTATTAATAATCTGAGCAGTAAAAAATCGGAAGTTGAGTTTCGTTATGACGCTTATAGTCGACAACAAAATCTTGTTTATCATGATTGCATTTATATGTGTGAGGATTGGGCGTGCTTACGGTAAGATCATACATGTGAGGGATTGGAAGTGTTTACTTTAAGATCATATATGTAAAGGGTTAAGCATGTATATGGTAAATCAATCATGTGCGGAATTGGAGGTGTTTACAATAAGATCATATAAGGAATTTAAAGAAAGAGATTATGATGAGAGCTAATTTCACATAAAATCACATGAGTAATAAATCTTAAGAAGTCAAATTTATGGAGAAATGATTCATGATACTATAAGATTGTTTACAATTTAAAAATGATTTATTAGTTTTTCTTTAAATTAACCTTGTTATTTTAGTTAGAGTTTCGCGAAATTTCGATTCGCGACACATGTAATCTTATTGTATTTTGCAGAAAACATTCACTGTACGGCGCTTCATTTGATTTCATAGCTCTTTTCTTCGAAGAGAATAACGTTTTGCTGAATATTCTGTCCATTTCAACAGTATAATGATAATGTGAATGAGTTGATGATCTTGATCCAGGAAGTGCAAGACTTTGGTATGTATTTATATTATCAGTATGATATCATTACAACTATTAATATATTCATTAGAATTGAAAACGATTATTTGTTTACTACTGATAATTTATTTAGTCATTAGATATATCTCGATGTACTCATAAATAAATCATAAATAATTCCAATTATATGGATAAGCTAATTATTGTTTCAATTTTTTTGTGCAGAAAATTTTTTATATTAAAATGTATTCAATGTATTCAATCATGTATAATATTAATAGATATTCATATTTTCGTGAAATTGAAAAAAAAAAAAAATGGACAATGTCGTATAGATGAATTTTCGTTAGCATAATATCTAATTACCTTTTCCCACTACTGTTGAAAATAATTTCTTGTTATAAAACAATTTCTATGTGTCGCTTTCAGTATCGAATAGCACAATTTGCTTGTGCTGTACTTCATACAATTTGCTCTTCAAATTCTTTTCAAACAACCCAAAAACTTGCGATTTTCATCAGTGGGGACGAAGAAGAAAACTTCATTGCTGCTGCTTGGTGGTACACATTACGTTTACGTTTCTCGACAGTAAGCTTTTCTGAATTGCATGATTTTGAGTTACAGATAACAAAGAGTTGATATGTGAAATTAAGTTTTGATTAAAAAGTTAGTTAAAAATTGAAACATTAATTTATCACTTCTTGCGCAAAAAAGCAAAAAAAAAGTTTTACTTTCAATGCGTTCTCTTTCAGATTTTATTCGCTGCTACTTCCATACTTATTTTATTCCTTTTCTTCCTGAATATCAGAAAAAATCATCGTCAAAGGTAAGCATATAGAGAGCTTTTTGCAACTTTCACTAGACAATCTTGGGAAGAATTGTGCAAGCTTGAGAATAAATAACAGCATTCATCACTTCTTTCGATGTGACCAAACAGAAATCAATAAAATAAAAAAATCAAATTACGTTTTGGTAGCTTTTCAGTTGCAAAATTTCCAGTATTTCATATGATCTATTGATTGTGGAACGGAAGGAAGGAATGTTTTATTTGTGATTTATTTAAAATGATAATTTAATTTGATAAATTACCATAAGCTATGCAGTGACTTCAAAGTAATTTATTTCACTGCAAAAACGGCAGATCATCACTTAGGTAGCGTGCGAAAACAAGAGAAAGCAATATTTAGATAGAAATCAGCTTTCATTCTCAAGACTCTTGAGAAACATTCTTACAAATCTGGCAATATAATAAACTAGTCTGACAATTAATTCGGATTAGTTTTTTGCTCCGCAAACGGCGGAAAACAGCCAAAAGAAAATAAAATTTGAATGAACGTTAGTTTCTACCTTTTCTTTTTCGAATTTTTTTCCGCAGCTTTTTTTTAAAAAGCTGCGGAAATTTAAACAGAATCACACATTCGGTGTGAGTGAAAAGTTAGGATGCAGACTAGAGATTTGAAAAAGCATTTGGCTTGGACAAAAACACGGGTGTATATCAGAAATGTGAGAATATAAGAAAAAAATAAGCTCTTCGGATAGGATATGTAATTTTTCTGCAAAGTATGAATTTACATTGTGTATGTATCTTGCAAATTTATTTCTCTTCTCAAAAAAGGGTTTTGAGCAAATAAAATGATGGAAAGTTATAAATGCAGAATTTGTAAAGTTAAGAAGTTACACAATTTATATCGTATGATTAAGAAATTTAGAAGTTCTCATCGCTTATTTTTGTCATACACAATAAATATAAACAACGATGAACTCATTGATTAGTAGATCAGAATATTAAGATCTGAAAATGGAAGCAGTTCCACATGCTATATAACAAAGAAAATAAGATCAAAATTATAGCACTATTACTGACAACTGAATGAGCATTATTGAAAGGAAGATAGACGATATCATCTGCAGGACATGGTTGATATGTTAATGAGAGTGACCTTTTCAAGTTTTTCCATTTCAACGGTTTCTTCTTACAATCCATAAGTTGGAAATTCTTGGTCAAACATAAACGCACATCAGCTAACAACCAACTTTTGGTCTGCAAGGGTTGAATCTTGAATGCGTGGAAACAACAGCTATCAAGAAAACAATAAGCTATTAAGTAAGCTATATAGAAATACCTGTTTATCTTGTAAGCAATGAAATTCCACATTTTTTCCATAAGCAGATCTTAAACTTTGATGCAATAGTAGCCGGTCGTATAACTTTTCTTGTGATGGAATGATTTCTTGCTTTTCTAATATACTGTAAACTTAAACTTTAAGACCATCTACTAATTAGAAAAAAATCCAAATAATAGTGTCTTTCGAACAATATTAGTAGGTCGTTTAAGGCCTACATTACGATCGTTTAAGAAAAGTTGACAAATTTGTCTCAAAAATTTTTCCTGTCCAAATTATAATCATACTCTTCAAGAAAAAAAAGGAAATTTCACTGTGAATTAGGTAGAAACCTGATTGAATGGATTTATCACTGACGATCATTGCTTATAATTAGAAATCAAAAAGTGGTACCCGAAGATATCAAACTGTTTATAGAGAGCGAGAGATTTGCTGAAATACTTTAATTCATCACTGACTTCTTCTACAATTTCCGCACACGTTCCATGCTTTTCCCACTCGTGTTTCCTGAAAACTGTGTCATTTACTGAAAACAAAACATTGCTAAATCAAAAAAAAAAAAAACAAGATTTTCGTCACTATGCCACAGTGTTGAAGAGAAACTTGAAAGACGAAACTGAGAGTCAGAATTCTTTAACGTTAATTCTTCCGATAATAAAAATATTTGATCTTACCATAATGACGATACGGATCGCATCACAAACAAATTTGGCCAGTACTTTTCCAATTTTTGTTTGATTGGAAGAAGTTTGGATAATACAAACTTTTTCGTGTCGCTACCACAAAATTGCGGGAATGATCCGTCATTACGCTGTGGCCTTAAAATCATGAAAACTCTAAATTAAGATATCTAGAAACAACTTAGATAGAATATACGAATAAATTAAAATCTATAAAGGAGAAAAGGAAGATCCTTTATTACATCTGAAAAATTCAAAACTTGAACTCCAAATTTTCTCATAACCTTTCTGGATATGAGAATTTGAAAAAAAAAAATTCCAAAGTTCAGAATTTTTCCACCTACCACAACCCATGAATTGTCCATGAGGCAGCATCGGCAGGAACTTTGCAAAAATTATCAATCGTCTTCTTGACAATAAATTTAGTAGCTCCACCATAGGCATGACAAACAGATGTTGGATAAATTAAAGTTAGCTCAAAATAATCGAAACTATCAACTTTTGCAATATTCATATGGGCCAACGCCGTTGCTTTTAGCAGCAAAACTAATATAATCATTTCAATCTACGAACAAGCTCATGTTGTCTAAAAAAAAAAAAAACTCCTGGAATTTCTGTCTGAAAGCAATACTACAATTTCTAGAGCAGTTTTGCATTCAATACAATGCGCCCATTGATTCCCAAACCATTTCCTTGAACATTTATTTGCATTTCCAAGTTTCTTGCCGAATTTTTTAATTTTCACTGTTGAATGAAATTTCAAAACTAAAAAGGTTTGAATGCCAATGGTAAGATTTGTATATTTCACTTCCCGGAAATGCAAAAAATTCTTCAGGACTACGAGGTCCAGACGTAAGCAACTCAGTCCTTTTACTCTTAGCAAAAAAAATTGTCGTAAAAAAAGAAGACTGTGATGTTAAATGACACATCTGTGTTCAGCTAATAAAAAATTTTGAATTTCTTTTATTACATAACACAACCGGACTATTACTGAAATAGGGAAGCATAGTGCAGAAACTATCAGCTTGATAAAGTTGATTACTAAAAATTTCACTATGGCATCTTACATCAGATAAACGCTAAGAAAGACTAAAGAAAAACGATTTGCACTACTAACATATTTCAGTGAACTGCATAAAGATATGAATACACAGGAATTTCAATTAAAATCGAAAATTGGAATAATTCACTGGATATACTTGTCAACATAACAACAATGTATATTACTAAAGATGACAACCATTGATTTAAAACGGAGGAGAAATAGGGAGCTGTGTGTGGTATCTGCCAATTTACATCAGCCCTCTTCTGCCCCATCAATTTCTTTGAAGTATAACTGAACAACGTAACTGCCAATGTTAACAAAACAGAAGCTGAATGAAAACTTCTACTTGGCAGTAAGTTTGGAAATTTAAACTTTGATTTTACTGATAACAATTTGCATAATGCTTGTTGTAAAACAACACTGTGCCAATGTCATGACACAAACTAGCACCAAATTATCAATAAACAACCTTGCAGTTTATGTGTATGGATGTGATACCTATCTTTGTTATTATTTTACACAATGGTATAGAGCCAGAAAATTTTTAACATCTAAAATAATTGCTTATAAAGTCTACAAAATGAAAGCGTAAAGTAACGATAAGGATGAAAGGATAAAAAAAACATCATCACTGACTTGTGACATTAAATGAACGAACAAACGTGCATAAAATGATGCTTTCTATACCCAATCATTTTCAAGTAAAATTTTGGTGGGAAATTAAAAGTTCTATATAAATAAAGTATATATACATATATAATAACTCATTTCTCCTATTCATCCATATTTCAATCAACTGCTGAAATTTTCTATAGCTAATAAATTTAGTCGAGGTAGTAAGGTAATATTCCTCACCTCTCCATACCAAAATTTCACACACTTTAGATATCTATTTTGCACTTTAAATTTCTGAATCTATTAAAAAAATTTCATATTTCTAAATCCTTACAAATCGAGAACCGTACACGAAAAAGAAAGCAATGATGCAAGTAATTACAGAAAAAACACTTTGGAGTTGATCTATAATGAAAATGCAGTTGAATGAACGTCGCAGTTTTGATTTCAATAAAAAAGGCAACATTAAAGGGCAAGCTCAAATACACTGACATATCGACAACAGACTAAACTGAACAACAAACTTTCAGAAAACTGAACAAGCATTTGTAATGGCAAAAAGCAAATGACTGAAAAAATGACAGTGAGTCTTCCAAAAAAGTATCCTAGAGTATTCAGAATTGTTTCCTGTGAATTTGTTCTTGAGTGGTTTCATTCAACTTAAATCAATTGTCACAACTGGTTTGCTTTTTTCATAAGACTGATTTAATGTGAAACTTGAATATGATTCATCTGACAAAGGTCTAAAAATCTCAATACATTATTCAGCCAAAAAAATTTTTTTCGATGCTTAAAAATAATTTTATACTGGTCTAAAACGGCTTACAAATTTATGAAACAACAAATATTTTAGTACCAGTGCAACCATTAAAAAAATGTTTACTGCAACTAAATGCGTTAAACATTTAAATTTATTTGAATAAATGCAATTTAGTAAAATTTTAGAAATTTAATAAAAACTTAATAAGAAAGAACAGTGATTGAATGCAGTTTAGAATTCTTAGGCAAAAGAATACGATAGAGGAAATGTGAACTGGCAGTGAAAACAATAACAATGAGCTTAAATTCTTCGCATTTATTCAAAAGATGATCTTACCATGAACTAGATTTAATCCACAATGTGCACAAGAAATAGAAATATCAGCAAATTTTTGATCGAAAAAGAGGTTTAGCAGTAAAAATCAAAGTGATATGAAGAACGTTTCCACTTCTTAGTGCTAAATTCATGGAAAGAAAAAGTTCATAAATTAAATACGATCAGATAGAGGCAAACTTCACTCATTATTTTCATTACTCTCATTAACGACAATTCCTTCATCACTTGCGCAGATTTTATACATATAGCTACCTGGAATACATTCTAGAGAGCAGTGAAAATTTTGAAGGGATACATTACCTAGCCAACATTTCTCTCATGACTTCAGCATTTAAACAATTGAAAATAAAAAATGGAAAAAAATTAGAATGCAACAAGCAACATAAATAGATCTGAAAGAAGAAAATAATGACAACATTGAATGAACAAATACACTGCAGTGCAAATATAAGTAAACAAAATATCAAAATATGTCGTCATCAAAATTCTATTTTAACACAAACATGGAGAGAGAGAAAAAAAAGCAGCACTTTCTACCTTCTCTGCAAACAAAATTCGGAGCGTAATGCCTCGATAATTTCATTTTTTGTTTTGCTTATTTCTTGTTTTAGTTCACATAAAATCTCTTCCTTCCACTTCTCCAAAGCTTCCGGTGTTACAGCGGCACCATGCCCTGCAGTTCGTGATTCCTCTTGATTCAACGAGTTCGAGCTTGGCAATCTGCAAGTCAGTTAAATGAACCATGCTTGTGATGAAAGATGCGAACATATTGCAATATGCTACGCAATTAACGAAAAGTCATTCAATAAATCATTTGTCATTTGAAAGAAAATGTGACAGTGTTTGAAAAAACGTTATGCTTACTTGCAAAACTGGGATTAAAAACAGGAAATAATGCAGTTTAAAACAGCTTGCGAGACTATACTCAGTGCTAGCATCCTTTTCAATAACAACGACATGCTACTTTGATAAAGACATTCCAGTCATTAAGGTTAGCTTTTCTAAATATTCAACCAAGCTGGATTTTTTGAACATTCTATAAAGTTAAGATGCGGAACATTAAAATATTAAGATCAAAATATATTTCCAACAACTGATTTCCCATTTCTGTTCTCTTCTACACTTAAAATATATGGTTATATAATAATGATTGCTTACTTGCGATTAATTTTTGGAGAATCAGTAATATTTGCACTGCCATTAACTTGCTTCTCCCAGGGGCGACGTAAGGTGCCATTGCCGACAGCATTTGTTGAAGATGCCGTATCACTTCCTAAAATGAGTCCATTATAGGATAGGGTATTCTGTCCCACTTTTCCATAAAATCATGAAATGCACTGCTTTTTTTTACGCTTACGTGAAAACACGAACCGATAGAGCGAGAATCACTGTTATCACATTGATTTTTGCGTTTGCTAAGAGTTGCTTCCAATTCCGATAACAAATTACTGCCACCTGAAAAGTCTACTCGATGCCGCAAAAAAAAAAAAAAAAAGATTTTTTTTTTAAATGAAATAATATTCAAAAAATACAAAAGAATCGAGAGGAAACTCTCTAAAACAAATATAATGAGAACAAATTTATGAGGAAATTTACAGCCATATTTATAAACTATTAAAAAGAAGCTTCATATTTTTAAGTTGTTCTTCAACACAGCAAAAATTTCAAATGGCAGAATGCGATTAAAAAAAACTGCAAAGCAAGGTATGGACAACCTGTAGAGGTAAGTTGAACTTAAGCTGCAGTATGGAAGAACTGATCCTTATACATAATAAAATGGGTAGTAAGGACTGCTGAAATTTCGAATTAAAATTTTGAACATAAAACAATAAAGTACCAGAAGCTGCTGAATTCGTTGACGGTGGTGCACTAACTTTCCGAAGTTGTACTTTTTTCAGCTGATCTGCAATAGAACTGCCACATCCTTTACTCAATGACAGGGAAGATAAAGGTGGCGGCGGTGGCGGTGCTGGTGGTGCATTTGATGAAACTGTTGCTATAAGAAAAAAGAAATTGGAAATGGATAACGTCAGCTCAAGACACAAAAATCATAAACTATAAAACTCAGGAAAATGAACTTACCAACATTTGTAGAACTAATGGAAAGTGATGGTGTGGAATTATAGTTGCTTGCAATAAATGTAGCTGGGACAGGTCGAACAGAACTACTGGCAGATCCGTTATTAGCAGAAGTTGTCGCATAAATGGCTGGAGGTAGTGAGGAACCATTGGAGGAACTCGATGAACCTTGTGAAGCACGCCGCTGTACATTATATACTACCATTGTTGTTGTAGCTCCAGTACCACTAGTTGAACTTTGCACCGACTGTGACGATTTTCTACAATTAACACAGTCAATTCGAATAGTACCTCTTTTCAGCTTATTAATTTCAGTTCAAATGAATCTTTCTGTGAAGCAATAAACCATCAATTTTGATGATAATCTCCCTCTCCTAGCTTTATTCGTTATGAACATAACTAGATAATTTTCACAACAAAGCAGTCACTAAAAATGTAGACCAATTTAACCAGGAAACCCTTATTAAGCTAACACCTGCTCCTTCTTATCTCACCGAAAGCCTGAAATGTATAAAATTTACACAGGAAAAGCAATAACTTCTATGAACAACAAAATAGCTTATCAACACAAGCAGCTGGCCATTTTTCGATTAAAGTGAAATAGTGGACATGAAAGCAAATATATACTAATATAAATTATCTCTCGCTACCACAAAGATGTCGAGAAAATAAAACGAATGCATAATATAACAAGATCATTAAGTGGAAAACAGAATAATTCGAAGGTAGAAAAAGAATGTCCTTTTTTGCCTTCTCCCTATTTCTACCTAATTCCCTAGTGCTCAAATTTTAAATTACTTATCTTATAATCGACATAGAATGCATGTTATGTTAACTAACTAAATATGTCTAGATTACACAAATACATGAGAAATTTAAAGTGCCTTCGTGTAACATAAAAACATTCTGACAATTTTATATTTCAGTAAAAACAATCATAGAAATTCCAAAAATTGGGAAAAAAAACTTATAATAACGCAATATAACAACGTAATTTATTATGGCTTCACGCTCTGTGTGAAAAACAATCTTCAACTAATGCTTAATTACCAAATTTGTTATCAATCAGAAAGAATCCATAAATTCTAAGTCGATAGGAAGAATAAAGAAAATGAAGAAGGAGAAATTTCAAAGGATCAGAAGAAACATGGAGTCTTTATATCTTACTTATTTGGAGCTAAATAACAGATAAAACTGAAAATTATTACAGAAGAATCAAGAATCAAAACAAATTCGGCTCAAATACCCTTTAAATGCTGCGTAAATTACAAAAGCATTAATGGAATATCCTTTGTCGAACATGTCTAAACATCTCAGTAATTATTCCAGCTTATAATGAAAGTGAGATTGAAATCCAGAATGTAGCAAAAAACAAAATTGGCAGAAAAGGAATTGAAAAAAAGTTACCTTTGTTAAAAATTACTGCCTGAACAACTTAGTTCAGCTAGATGCATTGTTAGTTTTTGTTCAGCCTAGTTCTCTCAAAAATATAAAACCTTTTTAGTGTGGCCTGCTAGTTCTCTCTTTTCTAGGTTGATATTAATATCAAAATTATAAAAATTTGAAGTAATTAACTGTCTTATGTTTTCTGCTTTTACCGTGTTTAATGTTTACTTTTATTTATGTTTCTAAGTCAACGACTGTGACGACTATGTGCTATCAGTTCGGTCAAGTAATGAACAAAATAACCAACTTCTTGAAGTGATTTTTGTAGTTTCAGGTAATTTCTCATTGATATGCATTTATTTGATATCCTAATCTCAAAATTTCATGTACAAAAGCTATTTAGCAGCATCAAAGATGAATTAAGCTTATTTGAATTGAGAAAAATTGCCTAGGAACTTAAAATACTAAAATAATGAAAAATTTATTTTGATTTTCTGTGAGTCATTTTCCGATTTGATTATTCAAGTTCAAAATCTAATAAGACTAAATGAAGCCTTTGGTACCTACATGTCCTGCTTACAATGCCCTGTTCGATCAACAGGATATCTTGTCAACAGAATCCTATTGACAACTATTACAGCATTTTTTCTCAAAATAACAGACGAGAAAGAGGCAGCAGTACAAATACCAAAAAAGATTGCAAGAAAACAACTATATTTATACAAGTACTGCGCGAATATTATCAAATCTTCTAATGCATAATTCACGTGTCGATTCAAGATAAACTACAATTTTAGGATTTTGTTACTCATTATTGATCATCAGTGAGGATAGAGTGGATTACTGAATCTTACTCTTTATGATACAGTTAATCTAAGCTAGCCTGTTTGCAAATAATCTCTATCTTTGATGTATAAGTACAAAAAGATTACTGATACTGTTTAAATTGAAAGCAGGATTTTTATCAATAAAAAAGAAATTGGAGAGAGATTCCTCCCTTCTTTCCAAGACAGCATTGCTCATTTCCAACATTTTTTAAAAAAAAAGGTGAAGAAAAAAGGATCTCGAGAAGCAAAAAACTAATGAAGTTCATTTTTTAAAGCATGAATTCATTTTTAGTAAGCATAAAAATATCACAGAATGAGTGTAATGATGAAGCAACATGATTCTGTTCAACAAAAAATTCCCATTCTTCAATAAGCAACGCTTTACTAATATTTACTGCTTTCGAATAACTTCAAATAAATTTTAATAAAGACGTAAACAAGATTGCTTTTAAGTTTTTTTAAAATAAAGGCATGAACATCATAGGAATATACAAAGAGATAAAAATACTTTTTTAAACAATCTAAATGCTATGATTGGTACTTTGGGAAACGGGATGCCAAAACCTAAAAATTATCCTTAAATAAAGGATAATTTTAAATTTATTCATCCCAATCTGATCAAACTTGTATCTGCTAGCCAATAGAACTTGACGATTAAGAAAATCATCGAAAAGTGTAATGTTTCTTAGCTTGATCATACGCTCTTCCTCACTCTAATTATATTTGTTCAATTCATTATAAGCTCTACTAATAATTACACCACTTCCTATTATTCTTTCTAAACTCCCTTCACTGCTCTCGCTTGCATACTTAAAGAAATAACACCACTTTTTAACTACATTTTTTAATTGGCCCTCTTTTGTTTTTGGAAATTCTACGAAAGTAAAACTAAAGTCCTTCTACCATAAGTCTTGTCATCTTGTCATAAAAAGCCACATTTTCCTATCTGAATTGTTTTACTAATTTTTAATTATTGTTAGACTTTTTTATACCTTTTTTTCTAGTCTTTTTTAAGGGAAAAAGAGATATGAAAAGGATTTTCTTGCTTAATAGCACAAAAAAAAAAAAAAAAAATGCATGAGCTCTGCTTTTTCTGATACAATCGACTTTCAGAAAGAGATAAAATTTCAAGATTTCGACGGTTTGGGAATATAGCAAAGCATTACATCAGTGTTATGCCCTTTATTTCAACAAAATTTTTGAACAAAAAAAAGTTTTTTTCTCCTCTTTAAGAAACTGAAAATCTTTTGAAGTGCAGTGGCATAATTGAAGCCATGTCCTTGAAAGCTCTACAACACAAATAATTCCTCCTTTTTCTTCCTCTATAATAGAGTATGCCTTCATAGTGTTATACAGTAATAACAGCACAATGCACCTCTCAATATTTGTCAATTTTAAGCTTTAATTTTATAGCTTTCGGAAAATGATTAAATTTAGTCATCGTCAAACCCAAAATAATTCACTCTGCCTACTCTACATGCTTCCCTCTTTCCTAACAATCCTTATGGTGTGTACAATAAAGCTTATGATGTCAGATGTGTTCCTTCCATTTACATCTTAAAAATTAACTTTGTGACAAAAACTACAACGATAAATGGAATTGAATATTGATCTTGATTCAGTTTATCAATTCTGAGAATTTTGGACCTTGACTGCGTAAATCAAATTTGAGATAATTCAACATAAATTTCACATTATCAATTCTGGATTATACATTCCATTGAATTTTGAATTCAATGGTATCGCCAACTAATAGATAAAATAACAAAAAAAGAAAGATAATGAGTAATAAAGGTCAGAATCGTTCCAAATAAACAAAATCTTATTAAATTTGATCAATTTCAAATAAAACGCCACTGATACCATTCAAATTCCCATCAAAAATTAACCATTCTGGTAATCAAGATATCACGATACAGATCTGAATTCAAGTCAAAATTCATTACTACATAAAAAAGCTAATATTTTCAGAAGACATCCTTTCAGAGTTTGATAAGTTCCTTTTCTAATTCTGCTTCAGATTCATTTTAAGTTTAAAAAAAAAATTAACCGGAAGTTGTTCGTATTTTGTGCCTGTGAACCACCACCAGAACATAAACTTTCCTCATCAGCACCCCGAAATGATGGTGAACTGTATGCATTATGGTGTAAATGATGCGGCTCTTGATAAATAGTATTCGAAAAACCCAAATCACTGCCTGAAACAGGTAAGTACTGAAAATTTCACAAAAATTCAATATATCTGTAATTCACTGTTATGAAACACAAAATAACAAATGCTATAATGGAATCAAAAAGAATCGTATAAGCGTGCTATGATAAAATAGGATAATCAGTACCGATAAGAAAAGAATGCTTTCAAGAATTAGCAGTCGGCTTACAAGAAGTTTGGTATAGAGGGCAAACACTAAACTTATTGGGTTTTTTTGAAAATAAAACAGAAACTCTGGGAATACCGCTGTATTCAGAAACGTTTCGAATAAAATGAATTTGTGAAGTTGCATAAATTCAACGACAACCAGCAACTGGTATTACCGAATATTTTTTCAAAATCTTACCATTCTGATAATCACTACTCGATGTTAATATTGACAGCGCCTGTGTCATAACTTTCACGAAAAGACGAGCATCTTCTTCCTTCATGAAGCTTAGGCCATAAACCTGGAACGAATATTATTTTGTTTCTAAATTACTGCTGAAATAACTTGAGCATTAATTGCCACCACTTGTTAATAAGATAACAATAAAACAATACACAAGGATGATTTTTGAAACGAAATAAATTACTTTTCTTTTTTCATCTCTCCACTGATGAAATGTTGGAGTTGCTGGTTTGTACCTCAGTCTCTCGTAAACATTGCAATTAAGAATCCAATGTCCATCCTAAATCATTCAAATAACTTCAATTATAGTAATACGTACCACAGCAGGCTGCTGCAATATTCAAGTTCCTCACAGTTTACTGTGAAAAATCACAATTACCAGTAACAGCAATTAGTAAAATTTATAGAAAAGAATTTGCATAGCCTAACACTACACAAGGAATGGAAAAAAGAAAACCTGACCTGCAGGCGAGTAGCGACAATACGAAATGCGTTAGTATGAACATTATGTAATATTCGGACTTGTGATCGGGCTGCTTCACTAGATCCATCAGGTGAAAGCCATTGCTTCGTAGTATCATCGTACATCATTACATCTGCCATTGCCACTGCCACTGTCGACTCTCTGAAAAAATTTCCATCTAACTATATGTAAGTAATAGTACTATGATATCAAATTATAATAATTTTAATTACTAATAAATACGCCACGAATCAACTAGAATTACACTAGAGTAATTTGGAGTCGGAAAACATTTTTTTTTAATCAGTTTATCTTTTTTCATTTATATCATATAATAAAAGACAAAAATCACGAGTAGTAGAAGAAATTGAAAGAAGAGGATTTAGTATTTGCAGGCCTACTTATTTCGTCTCATATTTTAAGTTCCTTCGTCCTTCATCAGTAACTTGCATTTATCAACAATGACAACAATAACAGCATAAAGCAAATATACTCTAACAAACAGATATTCACGGACATCTAAAATGAATGGCTTCCCCTTAAGCAACAAAGAATGAGAAAGTTTAAGATACATCACAAATAAAGATTTGAGATATTAGTTTATATATATAATCTCTAATTCTAATAATCCTTTTCTGTCAAATGATTTTAATTTGCGAATCATTAATTGCTTATCATATCAGAGATGCGTTATATACAAACAAAACTTCTCCAAGACTTAACATTTCGAATATATCTTGTGAAATAGTATATGTTAATGCGTGTTATTAATATCGACTGGTACATATTCCCTCAACATAAGCTCAACTAATCACTTCTGTGCTAACAAAGTATAAGCTAACTTCTAGTCATTCGAACCTCAATGTAATGTCGTCTCAGGTATGAGCTCCACTACCTCCAGGAATTAACTGAAACAAAAGAGGTGCAACAAAAAGAAATGGGAAGATTAACTGAGAGAATAAATTCGATTTTCTAAAAATCGTTTTCTCTCTGTCCCTTCGTATCACATTTCGATATCATTTTCAATATAGGAAATGTCCTTCAGACAAAAAAGAAAAGAAAGAGAAAAAAGCAGCGTAATTATATTTGCCCTTTCTTAAGGACAAATTTAAATAATAGAATACACGATGCCCTTACTTTCAGTCCCCACAAAGGATGATTTTTCGAACATTTTCCCACGACAAAAATTTTTGCAAAAAATTTTCATTATTTTACGCATTATTCTGCTTCAATGATATATAACAACTCTTCCTCTAATACTTTTAAAATTATCTTATAAAATGTAAAATTCCCGATCCACACAATACCATTTATTTCATAAACTATATTTGGTGAACTCCAGATTGCTAATTTAAAATCTTTGTCCATCGGAAAAGACTTCCGACAATAGTCCAATACATCGCTGCTATATTTGTAATGACAACAAAATTTTTAATTTGACCATGACATTTTCTCCTCATCTTTACACAAACTACTCATTTGCGTGGATTGTATCCGCATTTAAAGCATAATCCATTTCTTCTACATATGTATATAAATGTACAAATTGACAGCCCAGACGTTAAAGAACACGAAGTCTTAAGTAAACTATTATTCAGAATATGAAATTCCTCAACTTACCGCGGCTAAATTTATTTACTCTTGCAAATTGCGTCTAGTCTGTTTGCGCATATTCACACTTTACTTTTATGGGAATAGTAATACAAACCGTATAAAGTATTTAACACAGTAAAAGAAACAATAGAATGAAAGCAAACTTTTTTCCTATAGCATGAATCAGTGTTTCGACAGCCAAGTTTATTTAATTCATTTCAGTTCAAATATGACTATACACTGTAACCACTTATAACCATTTATCCGTCTATTATTGACTGGATTTTCCAAATAAGCTTTAAGTATACATGCCCATTTATTTACTTCTTATTAACAAGGGTATTGAGTTATCCAAATATCTTCCAAGAAAATAATCGATGTGATATTATCATTTGCAAGATAAGAACCGCTTTGGCCATGAAAAATGGCAAAACGATGATCGCAATTATGCAAACCTTCAGGATAATATATGGAAGAAAGAGCGAAAATTATAGACAGATGGACATAAACAATACAAATATAGGGGAACACATATAGGGGATGAAATAATGAGTATGCAGAAAAACTGTCACTCTTCCTCTCGCATTTGCATAAACAGAAATTTTTGTAACTGTGACCAACCCAAAGTAGTTCGAATTATTATTCATTTATATTGGCTTAATCCCCACAACTGGAATACCGGAATATTTATCTATGGTTATGATTATTTTTTAAAAAAAAAAAGATAAAGAAAACTCACAACTTTTGAAAATCATAAAATAATATGATCATTAAAAACTTGCCATTTTGAAAACCTGCTTTTTTAATTATAAATGCGGAAAATTTCTCAATATTTTTAAACTTCTAATTTCCTTTATTTCCAAACTAACAAAAAAAAGGACAAAAAAACGAATAATTTCCGATCAGTAGACTATAATTTCTGATTCCTTTTTGCTCATTATTAAGTAATCCGATATCAATAAATTTATCTGCTGATAACAATTCGATATTCAGTATACCATTTTCATAAGTTAATTTTCAAACTATGCTATCTCTTTGACTCGTTGGAAAAATGTACAATGACTTAGGAAGTGAATACGCATTACTGGTATGTATTTCAGTTTCAAACTTAAAGAAACGAGAGATATATGACTCCTGTACTGGCTAAATAATTATGAAAGTCCAAGTGATGCAAAATAAGTTTGTTTCCCATAAATTTTAGACTTATCAATGGAATTACAATAATAATTTTGTGAGTGCATAGAATAATGAAACTAAATTTCGGTAGAAAACCCCGTAATTTACATATCCATATTTGTAGACCTGATCCAACTTCATAAAAAAGTTAGCATCCTTTATTATCAGCAGATGTTTCAAAGTGAGAAAAAAAAGTTCAGGACTATAGCTCTGTTAAAGTTATCCACAGAAACAAAGACGAAAATTTGAAAACATGCAAGGATAAAGAATTTCAAATTTTAAAACTAATTTTCGAAAACCTTTAATCATAGAAACACTGCTTCCACAAGCAAAAATTGGAATCTTTCTTTATGCAAATTTCGAACGTCAATAATATCAAGTTTGAGAGAAAAACTCGCCTTCTTTAGAAACACATAATTTATATTTTAAAAATAAAGATATGTAAACTTACTCCATAATTCCAATTCTAGAAAACTGTCGATTTGTGTAAACGATTCCCGCAGTGATTGCAGTAAGTAAAGCAAATTTTGAATAAATTAAATAAATCAGTAAATATACAATAAAGGACGGAATAAGCTTTTCCCTTCTTCTTTCTAACTTTTTCACCTTCTTCTCTTTTTTGAAAAGAATCAGCAAAATGCCAAAACAGATGCAGAATGAGTACAAATCCTATTCACAGAAATAGATTCAAAATTGTTTAAAACGAACCATTATCAGTTCCACCATCGTCACCAATATCTACAGGAATACAGTTGTTGTCACCTGACAGAATACCATTATAACTATTATTATCATTATTATTACTACTATAGCTAAAAGCATTCACTTACTGCTGTCGCTGACTGTCAAATCAGTACATCCATAATTAATGACAATAATAACAATAAGAGCAATATTATCGGCAGTGACGCTCAATGTCTGTATTGCCAGCACCACAGCAGTACAGTGTCGTTGTTAACAAGCACAGCAAAAGTAGCAAATATAAATTGAACTATTAGCACTCTTTAGAGGCCTGACGCCTGAAATTTAACAAAAACACTTGTATGAAACTATTTTCGAAATACACATTTCAAGAATGAACGCACGTCACACGCCTGAACCATAAAAATTACAAATTGTAAGCAAAATGAATAGGAAGTAGTGTAAACCTCCACTTATCAAACAACAGAGAAATCATTCCTTCCCTATTAAGAGGCTTAAATGTAACAAAAAAAAAATTTCAAAAATACATCACTTTCTGAAGCTGAATTATCAATATGTACGATAAACCCAACTATCACTCTAAATGAAATCTTCAACAATTTTCGTATGCACTGTAAGGCTAAACTTAGTTACAGTTCGGTCCATGTGATCATCTCCCTTCTGCTACTTTCTTGTCATTATGTAATATAATATAACAATGTTATCAAAGAAAAAAAAAATTAAAAAATGAAAAATGTTTTGAAATAACGAGGTTTACAAAAGCAAAAACGATGATCATATCTAAGCTGATAGTTATCATCGAGAAAAACATTATCATCAACGTAAACAAAACAACTTTTTTGTCCATCCATCCAGGCTATTAGAATAAATTTTGGTGATCCCAAAAAAGCCACAGCGCTCATAATTGAATTAGAAGAAAGTTATCCTAGTTCTTCGCAATTAAGACTTTAAAAAAAGAAATTTCGAAATAAAATGGAAACACAGAATAGTACAGAGGAGAGTGTTGCAATAATAAGGAATGAATAAGCAATCTAAAATTTTTTTTTGTAGTTTTACTTTCATTCTAAAAAAAATGTTGTAACAAGATAAGAATACAAACAAATTTTATATCTAAATCTCTATATCTAAACAAATAAAATTACTGCCAAGCATAATGAAAGCAATTACATATAAGTGTTGCCTTAAACTAATTCAGATATAAATATTGTTAAGTACATAGCATTCAAGTATTACTTCTACCGTTCATATATGGCACACATAGACACGACATTTCGTATCAGTGAAACACGCAACGACTGAATGGGTAAGCATATTGGCATATGTCCAGAAGATACAATATTCCTAATTGGCTTAATTTTGAAGCACTCGTAACTATCCTATAATTACAATCTTCCATTTGTACTGTTCTAATGAATGCTGTTGAAAGTGAGGTCATCCGGCTGATACCACAATATCTATACCAAATAATTATTCAGCACTAATGGCCGACAAATTGGCACAGGAAACTAATTCTACAATAATAAAATATGATCCAAGAAAAAAAAAAAAAAAAAACCATTCTGATGGTATCTAACAATCTCCTACATCCTGTAAGACATAAAAGTACATTCCTTTTTGAACTTTATAAAAATCCCCACTTCATAAACCTTAATGGATCGAATCGAAGAAAATTAAGAGTGGACAAAATCTCTCGGAGGAGAAATTAAGGATGAGCAAATCAAACGATGCAAAATAAAAAAAAAGTTGGAAGGAGATCGACCAGTATAGTTTTTCATTGTCTCTTAAAAAACTCTCTTAAGCATTTTAACAATTTCAGCTAGACCTCAGAAAGAAAAATTAGGGAAACAGCAGCTCAATAAATGCTCTTCCTGATACTGGGAAGGATTTGACATGATATATCAGCTCCGTAACGACTGGTAAAATTCCTGAAGGAAATTAAACTACAACTAATTTTATTTAAAATTAAACCGGTTTCAGTGAATTCGATCGGTTCCTTCATTACTTCTTCATTAAACTGCCAGTTACATTTGCTAGCAGTCATTCAGAACTTCGTTATCTCTTTCAAGCAAAAACAATTCATTTTTCTTAAGAAATATGGTGGATAAATGGAGCTATTAGATACTTGACGAGTTATGTCAACTTGCAGCCCATAATAAAATGTTTGAACAATTCAAAACACAAAAGTGCTTATTTGACATATTATCTACATCGAAGAGAAAAGAAAAACAAAAAAGCTTCTTTCGACTATATAATCTTTCATCAGATTGAACAAAGTTTGTGTGGAAAAGGAATAAATGAAAGCAACTAAAGGCAAAATTAAATAAAGGAATCTTGAGAAAGTGATTAATAAGCACGGTAATTCGAAGTTGTATTTTAAAAAAATTTCGATGAAAACAGGTTGGTGCTTGAAACATTAGAAGTACAACGAAACCGGAGAGATGTAAATGGTGTGATGACCTGAAACAATAACAATGGTAACAATTATTGGACAGTACTTAGATTAACTTAAAATACCTACGAGAGGTATTTACGAACAATTTCAAAAAAAGAAGGAAATTTTATCTTCAAAGATATATAACTATTAAATTTGCAGTAATGAATGAAATGGATAGACGATAAGAATGGGTGGGACGACTGCGAAGAAGTAGAAGGGTGAGTACGAAATGACCGCACCCGTAATAGCATAAATCATCCAATTTCGATGGTGCTGCATTTTGTTGTTCACATGAAATGCAATTTATAACTTCTAAACCTCGATAATTTTGAAATGAAGCATTAGCTCTTTTCCTTTATAACATTGCAACTAATAATAATTTATCCTTGCCAACTTCCCAAATTAGAAAACTTCTCTTCGAAGTTATCTTTCCACAGATAAAGTTCTTATAGTCACATTAATCTATTGATGATTGTTTAATTACATTTTTTTAAATATATTGATGATTGTTTAATTACATTTTCAGAATAATGCATCAAGAACGTCCTTCATGTTTAAGCTTTGAAAATTTTTGAAAATTTTCAGAAAAGAAGAGAAAAATAAAAAAGGAGTACAAGCTCTATGTGAATTTTGTATTACTTTTCTCGTACCTACAATACTGTATTATACAACCGGACTATGCATTAATAAACAACTGCTAATGCAGAGAAAAAAAGAACACTGAATTAATTCTTAACCTTCCTTGAATTCCGCAAGAGATGAGAAAAAATGGTGACAAAACGATGTTATTGTTATAATAGACTGAGAGAAGTATTCAATCAAACATCTCCATGTCGACTGAAACACCAACCAAAGAATATCATGAACTGCAACATTACTCGATAACATGATCACTGTGATTGAGATGAAACATCGATTTGCTCCACATTTACACAGCGATAAGTGCTTCTTATCGTTCCATTCTTCCTTCTTAACTTATAAAATCGTATAACGGAGATCGCCCATTCTCAGTTTTTTTATCTCTGAATTCTATTTTCCGCTCTTTTATCAAATTCATTTTGGGTCACTGTCCTTAGTGTTGTTCCTATCTTTTTCTAAATCAGTAAGCAAACATCAGGAAAGCGTAAAAAAGTATAGACGAGCATAATCCCGAATACCAACCACCTCCATTCAACTGGAACTAGTCATGAGTTCCACTGTCACCGTTGACAATGAGTTTTGAATAGAATGTACTCTTAAGCATTAAAAATCCTTTGGCTTTCACAGAATATAAACTAAAACTAGAAGAAAAGAAAGAAAGTATAATCACGTATTGGATAGTAACCAGCAGTTTAACAAGACTGCGTATTAAGGACACAAAAATAGGATGATTGAATATAAAGAAGTTTCAAGAATTTTTTTAATAACTATAGTCGTAAGGATGATGCAAAATGTCGCATCTGTTCTAGCTCAATTTATTCCTCATTGATTTCTAATCGAACGCCAAGCTATCCACCATGAAAGGAGGTGAAGGAAAACATGAACAGCACCTCTTTCAATAGGGTTAGGGTTAGTGAAACAGCATGAGACTAGAATTATCGACGTTTGGTCCGAGTCTAGGACTGCCTAATGGAGGACCTAGAATAGATGAAACCAGTTGTATGGGAAGACTAATGACCAAAACTCATAACGGCCTTGCCTAGTTATCCATCCATTCTTACTTCTCCTGCAGCCTGCAAAAGATCTCTTTCCTCCAGCAGACCTCTTTCTACTAAGCCCAATTTATATTAGCAAATATTCTATACAGAAAAAAGAATAGGGAAATCGGAGAAATAGGAAGAGCAATTAAGTGAGTGGGAAGAAATAGAATCCAAATTTGATACATATAATAAACTTTGAAATCGATGTGAAATTTAATCATCGTTTTTTGGCAAAATTTGGTAGATCACAAAACAGTTGTACTATTCTCATATTCTCACTGTACTTCCATTTTAAACTTTCGGTTCGCAATAAGCCCTCTCACTTACATTTTATAACTGCTTGTTGTCGAATCGAAAACATTGTGCCAAAAAAAAAAACCTCAAAGGACTCTATCCTTGTTGCTCTAAAAAAATGTTTCTTAAAAACCCGTAATTAATTTTGTAGAATAAAGTTTGACCCCTAAATCTTAGAAAAGGACATTAAATTTTGAGTTTTTACGGGAAGAGCGGAGGAAGTTTTTATGCTAAATCCAAGAACTAAATTACTCTTTAAGAACTACTTTTGGCAAATTTGACAGCTTTTCGAAATTCTCTGCCATATTTCACATTCTATAATCACATAGATTCTTTTTGCGATCATA